GAGCGAAGCAGCCCCGGCCGCGCCCCGCCCGCTGCCGGCTGCGGGCGGCCGCTGCGGGTCTGCAGGCCCCGGTTGGGGGGGAAAACGCTTGAGCCACCGGCCATGGCCGACCGCGGATGCCCTCTGGAGGCGGCGCCGCTGCCCGCCGAGGTGCTCGAGAGCCTGGCGGAGCTGGAGCTGGAGCTGTCCGAAGGTGAGAGCCGCGGGATCCCCCGCGACCAGGGACCCTCGCCCGAGACCCCGCCCAGGGACCTTCGGGAGCGTCACCCCCCGGAACCTGCGGGCTACCCTCCTATGGGATCCCCGCTGGCCTTCCCTCGGCATCCCTGCCTGGGCCGCTCGCCGGAGAGCCCGCCAGCTTCTGCAGACTGGCGGGTGCCCGGCCTCCGAAGGACACCGGGAGGGACTGGCTGGGAGGTGGGCCTAAGCGCACTCTTGCTGCCCGACCGTGGTCTGGGCTTCCGAAGCGTCAAGGCCACGGTCCGGGCTTCCAGAGGCTGCCTTGCAGCCTGTCGGCCGGCAGGAAGCCCGGGATGCAGAAGGCGAGCCCCACCCCTGGAACCTCAGGCTGCCTCGTGAGCCTCAGTTTCCTCATCTATAAAAAAACGAGGCAAAAAAGAACACTCTGCCTTGTGGGTTATGAGGCCGAAGTGCCTTGATCTGTCAACAGATGTAAAACGTGTTAACACTTAAGAGGTTTATTCCTTTATGGAATTTTGATACGAGTTGTTTTACACTCGGGGGTGGGGGAGGGCAAGCAAGGGTCACGGTGCCTGCGTGGGGGGAGGTCAGAGGTCAGTTTGCACGGAGCTGCTGAGTTCTGGGAATGAACTCAGGTTGTCAGATTAGAGGGCAAGTGCCCGCCGGGCCAACCCATCAGCCCTCTCTCTCTACACGGGGATTTTAAAAAGTTAAAAAGTCAAATGAGTGGTTGTTCAGAAACAGACTAAGGAAATAATAGGACTTCAGAGATGGTGAGTGGTGCCCTCATTTTGGATGTTATGCCTCTTGGGATGCCTGGGAAAAGACTTCTGTTCTCCATAAACTGACTCCCCAACCCTGGAGGAAAATCATCTATGCTTGTTAACTCTGCTTTTGAGACTTAAAGGCAGTTTGAACTTGTTAGAATCCACCTCCCCACCCCCACCCCCATTTAGATTGTTAAGCTATGCTATAGTCGATTTAGTGAATTTTTGAGAATTTTCTTTTTCTTTTTATGTATATGGGCATTTTCTTCGCACATTTGTCTGTATATCATATGCATGCCTGCTGTCCCTGAAGGCCAGAATTGGGTACTAGATTTATGAATTGAACCCAAGTCCTCTGGAAGAACAACCAGTGTTGCTTAACCACCGAGCCATCTCTCCAGGTCCAGTTCCACTTTGAGAATTCTTGATTCTCTTTGGAGGCATGGTTGGGAATGATTCTGAAAAAAAAAAAAAAAAAACTATTGTACTGGATTTGATATGGCTCCTCGGGGGAAAATCGCATAGTTGTAGGTTGGCTTTTGCATATCAAATGTGTTTTTGCAGATTGCTCCTCATTTCGGCTCCAGAATATCTGTTATTTCAGTTGCTTGGGGTTATATACGTTTTAATGCTCGCTGGGAGTTTATAGTTAATTAAATGATTCTCCTCAAAGCAAAAAAAAACTTCATAAGTTGTGGCAGGACCAGAGTATATCAGCTGAAGAAATACCTCTTAAGTCACTTAAATCTACTTATACTGATACTGTTTTAGACCTATATGGGGGTATATGTACGTAAAGGGTATATGGTTGTGGGTGTGCCGTGTCGAGGATCTGAAAAAAATAGCCTACTCAGAGAAAGGGGGCAGCCAGTTCAGAGTTAATAGCAGGAGACTGCAGAGTGTGCCGGCAACCCCAGAGTCAGTAACCATACTTTCCTGCCCTCTAGACTGGCACATTTCAGTTTGCCACATAGGTTAAGTCATTACCTTGGCAGAGTCGCCCTTGGTCCTGCTCACAGAGAACTTCCACACCTTAACCCTGGACCCTAGAGCTTGGGGTTATTGTTGAGATGGAGCTTTTCCTGTTGGACTCAGAGATGCCTAGTGATACAGACTGTGTGTTAGGCAGACTTTTGGAGTACTCACCTAGAGGCTGGCACCTCCTCAGTGTCATCTGGCAAGTCACTGATTTATGACATGCCTAAACTTGGGCTGGGCCAGCCGTAAGAGGAGGTGAACGTTTTACTGACATTTCAAGGTTCCTGTAAAGGTTTACTCAGTGTGTGTAAGTGGTTTGAAACAGTCGAGGTGCTTTATTTATAAACGAAAGGAATGTGTTACTAGTGGGTCATAGTTCTCAAACTAGTATTTCAGTAGTTTTTTTTTTTACTTTGACTTTATTTATTTATTTATCTATTTATTTTTTGGCGTACAGAATAGTTTGATCGTGACCCTTTCATGCATACGTGTTATACTTTGCTTCTATTCACCCCATTATCCTCTTTTGTCCCCCAACTTCTGTTTCCTTTTCTCTCCCCAGAGAGCTGCCCTTCTGCATTCGGTGACACACACATTTTTACAGGTAGAGAATTAGGTCTGGAGCACACATATAGGAGAAAACATTTGTCTCTCTACGTGTCCTTCTGTAGTCCTGCCTCTAACGTGTAGATTTTCTTTACTTAGTAACCGTCTATATCCCATGGATGTGTGGGTAGACATACAGTTTGCACATGTGTTACTATCATTTGTATATTTTACTCAACCAAAGGTTGTAAAAATGGGATCTATCTTTCCCTCCCTCCCGCCCCCCCTCCCTCCCCCCCTCTCCCTCTCTCTTTCTTTGAGACAGGGTTTCTCTGTGTAGCACTGGCTGTCCTGGAACTCACTCTGTAGACCAGACAGAGATCTGCCTGCCTCTGCCTCTCAGTCGCTGGGCTTAAAGGCATGTACCACTATGGGATTCTCTCTTCCCTGAGGCTTTCTTTTCTCTCATATTCAGGGCAGAGAGAAAAACTTCTGGTTTAGAATAGCGCAATGTCAGTTTCATAATACCCACATCTGTCTATGTGAAGGATTCCTTAGAACTTGTGTTTGTCATTGAGGGGTATGGGAAGAACTCAACACAGATAAGCTGCTGCCTTCGTGGGAAACAGTGCTGAGAGGGATGGTACCCGGATGGTCTAGAAAGTTGTGTTCCTCCCTCAGCTGCACACAAGCAGGGAATAGTTGGTGTTACCTGGAGAATCTGGAAAATCCTCCCGGTCTCCCCTCAGCTGTATGTCAGCAGGGACTACATAGAAGAAGCACTTCTCTGTCTTTGTTCGTGAAACATGGTCTCCTCCTCCAACATTATCACGGTTTTTAATCATCCCCCATGCTGATAAGGGTTGGCTCTCAGAAAAGGTTCTCTGTGTGTGTATGTTTGTGAGTGTTGTATGTGTGAGTTGGGGGCGGGGTATGAATGTACACATACCATGGTCTGCATTTAGAGGTCAGAGGACAACATTTGAGATCCCGCCGTCTCGTTCCACCATGGGCTTCAGGGGTTGAACTCAGATCATCAAGCTTGCTTGATCGACACTTTCACCTGCTGAGCCATCTTAGCAACCCTGAAACTTGAACGTGTTGAAATAAATCGTAAGTCTTCTTGAAGTTATTTTAGGCATTTGCCACAGCAGTGGCAACAACAGCAAAAGGACAACAGGTCAGCCACAGTTAGGAGCACTTCTTGCTCTCTAGGGGACCCTGGTCCAGTTTCCATCACCCACATGGTGGCTCACAATCACCTGTACCTCCAGTTTCAGGGAATCAAACACTCTTCTTCTGACCTCTAGGGGCACCAGGCACACGTGTGGTGCTCAAACATACATGCAGGCAAGACACTCACACACATAAATTTAAGACGGAAAAAAAACAAGGATCAGAGTGGAACAAAAGCAATATTATCGTCTACTGACACACAATCATCTATACACTTAGCCACTGTCCTAAAGAAAGGTGTGTCCCGTTCTACCTCTTTGCCTCCTCTTATTTGGTAGAGAGAGGGAGGGACTATGGGCGGTTGCTGTAAGATGGCAGTGGACAGCTTGGGTGACAAGAAGGGCATCCTAAGTAGGTGGGCTGGTTACCGGTCATGGCATGAGAGGAACAGGGTAAATGAACCTTATTATAAACAGCTGTATGACGAGCAGGGCGGCTGCTCCCAACTGAAAAAGCCCCAGGCCAGGTGGATTCACTGCAAAACTCTACCAGAACTAGCCGATCCCAGTGCTACTCAAGGTGCCCCGTGAAGCAGAAGAGGAAGAGAGGGTTCCAAACTCTGACCAAGTCAGCATGACCTTGACACCGAAAACCACATAGAGCCATTGCACGAACAAGAAAATCTCGGACCTACCTCCCCTGCGAAGAAAGACACAGAATCCTCAATGAAGTTCTCAGAAACGAAATTCAGCATCACATGGGAAAGGCCGTTTGTCGTGACTAAATTGGCTTTATCCTAGCACTGTAGAGACAGCTCAGCGTACATTAGTCAATCAGTGTAATTCGATACATTAATGGACCAAGAGACAGATATCACATGACCATCTCTAGTTGTAGAGGGAAACTGTAAAAATCCATCTACCCTTCCTGACAAAAGTCCCGGAGAGTCTAGGGATGGAGGGTTCATACCTCCGTATACTGACGTTTGTTTACAACAGACCTATAGCAAACATCATACTGAAAGTGTTTCTAAAAGGAACAGGTAAGGGACCTCCACCACGCCTCTCGCCACTTACTACTCAATATAGTGCTTGGTGTCTAGCTAGGACAGTTTAATAACGGAGGCAGACAGCAGGGATGCAAGTAGGAAAAGAAGATGCTAACACACTCCCCTTTTCAGAAGATAATGACTGTATAGACAGAGACCCAAAAACATCGAGAAACCCTTAAGAGCTTATAAAGACTCTTATCAAAGTGGCAGGGCACTAGCACTTGGGAGGCAGAGGCAGGTGGATTTCTGAGTTCGAGGCCAGCCTGGTCTACAGAGTGAGTTCCAGGACAGCCAGGACTACACAGAGAAACCTTGTCTCAAAATAACCAAAAAAAAAAAAAAGGTGGCAGGGCACAAAATCAACATACAGAAATCAGTAGCCTTCTTGAGTACCAATGACTGAGCGAGATCATTGAGACAGTCGCATCTGCAGTAACCACACCGAAGATGAAGGACCTAGGGAAAAGCTGGGCA